AAGGAAGTTTGCTGGAAAGGACAAACAGATGCAACAGCAGAAGTGTACGAGTGCGGCCAATATATATATTTGTCACCGGAGTCAGATCAGAAAATTTCGGTGCCCCTGTTGGCTGCGATGTGTCCTTAGATAAGGCACATGATGAATATATTTATCAGCTGCACTGGTAATAACAATGGGCTCAATGTATAATAAGGGATGGGGGGATTGTTAGGGCATGTAGAGTCAAAGATGGACAACCGTTACGATAGATAACAAGTGATAAGGATAAAGTTGCTAGCTAACAAGAAAACCAGAAATCACTGCTTACAATTGCTGAAGCCTTCAAAAAAAGAAAAAGAAAAAAACTCAGTTCTCCAGAAAAGACAATGTGGCATGTAGTAGTCCAGCTAAGGTGGTAATTTTGCAAGACTAGAGTCTTTGGGTTACATGGGTGGCCATACGAGGTAAGACCTTTATGTTGAAAATCACCGGTACTCATTCTTGAAGAGGTGTTCCTGATCTCAGAAGGAGAAGGTTTTGTTGTTGGTGCCGTAGCTAGGATGTGTTGTTGTTGTCTTTCTCATATACTAGTTTCTTAGTATCGTCTCCTTATATTTCATGGGATTTTAGGTAGTCTATGGAGGTCTTCCGTAGTCGTCGGTACTCTTCTGGAGTCTTTGGTGGATTGGGGTTATCTCGGGATTGGCCTATGCGGAACTCTAGGAAGCATCAACCTCGGAGGATGGAAAAAATTACTGGAAGGACTTTGGACTCCTGTGAACTGCCACATCTGTGGGTATACGGGTGCAAGAGAAATTAGTTGGGAGTTGTATCTAGCACTGTCCAGATGAACCCCCCGGCTATCCCTCGGATAGGAAAAGGTAGGACAAGCAATACAAGCATCAAGAAACATCTATTCATTTTATCTCTGCTTTTTCTTCTCCCTCAGCTGCCTCCCCATCCCTCATAAAAATACCTCATGCTACAAGATAACTGGAGCTGCAGGAGATAATCAGGGACTACGGGTGACCTTACTCCCGCGTCTTTGCCAAGACTCGGAATACCTCTGCCAGCCGATATTGTGCTGAAGTCCTCACCAAATATTCGGCCCAAGGAGGTATCCTCGGGAAAGATGCGTGAGTAAGGTAATGCAGGGGATTGCAGGGGTGTATGGGTCACTATGGGAGGCTACCTGCTCGAGCTATACAAGGTTTTTGCATTCCTGTTCAAGAACAAAGCAGTATTGCCTCCATCCACAACGGGCGAAATTACGCGAACAGTTGCTATCTTTCAGGATAACTCAACGAGGAAGAAAGTTGGGGGGAATATACAAGTTTCAGGATAGCGCTTTATTTGCGGCAATAAAATTGGTTGGACCACAGGAGGAAACAAATGCAGAGTGCCCCGAGAGGATACTTGCGGTACTCGGACCTAGGGATGGTATACTCGTAGTTCGTACGTGACTGCAACCCTAGGTCACAAAAATAGCGTGACTTTCTGTAGGTTGAAGCCATGTCCGGAACTTGTGTACTCAGATTAAGTATATTTGTGCCCAGTAATAACTTGGTATATTTGTAGACGCCGCTACTGCCTTGTGCTCAAATCCACCTCCCGGAGTACCTAGGTTTCCGGCAAGCCTCGCAATTGGGCCCGGGCTGTTTGGGCCGGGCCGGGTTGGATCGTCTATAATAGGTCGCAAGCCCGAGTAGCTCGGGAAAGCCCCATCAAAAACCCAAAAGAGCTGTCACTTACTCAAGTATGTTTATCAACTTACATGATATTACTCGTATCTTGAGATTTTAAACAAAACGGCCGTGCTAGTAATACCAGGCTCACTGGGGGCCTTCCATACAATTTTCAAGGTCAGTTGTCTAATGGTCACGATACCACTTTGGACTTCTAACCACTTGACCGATGAAATTGATCAAATATCATGAACAAGCAAGTCAACCCATGCCCCCGATGCCCATTGGACCCACGACCCACAAATCTTGTATACCCTATCTCACACCTTATCATATACTGGTCCTTGTAATATCCTCCATATCCTAGTATTCGCCCTTTCCTCCATACGCATTACAATCGCTATCCATTTAGATGAATGGTCTTTCAACAACCGCCGCTTGCATATCATTATATGTACAGACTAGCTGAAACAGCCGGATGGTTAAACCGCTGACTTGTGAAATAATGGCAGGGGCCTCAGAATTGCAAATGAGTGCGACGTCAGGTCTAGTGAAAGCTTGCGGGACAACAAAGACAACGCAGATCCGACCGGTGGTTGCCGGCAAGCAACGGGAGAGGTCTTGTATCTCTCGGGAATCGAATGTGGTAGTTCTAGCGATCGTAATCCGGAATAGAATCAAGGTGTCCCAATGACTAAAAACCAGCCCATCAATAGACTCCGGCCGCCTGCTGTACGGCAGGAAATATTTCCCTACCGTATCTGGTGCAAGACCTTCACGATACCTATCCTGAACCTGTTGGGCAAGGTGGCCTGTACTGGCAAAATAATGAAAACAGGCGGATTGATTCTTTTGGATTGCGAATTTGAGTGGGAGAGGGTTATCGTTTGCGATCAGAATTTCGTTGGCATTGAAGGACCCTCCATGGCTGAGCACGTATTGGGCACACCCCTCGAAAATCCATCCACTAATGTTTTCCAATCCTTGATAGCGTAAAAAATAACGGTATAACCCAAATCCTATTCGGGAGGACTGCTCCAGTGCTACCATAAGTACCCGGTGGGCTGGCCATCTGGTAGTAATTCCAGCCTTGCAGAACAATGCCTCTTCGACAGGTTCCATGACGGCTGAATTGGGGGAGAGAGGACCGGCGAGGCTAGCTATTATGCTTTTTTTTTATTAGCTCCCCGGGCAAGGAAAGTCTGTATATCGGTATCCACACGGCGAAGATGAGCTCTCAGCCTACGGTGATAGCCTGCATCAATCATGGCAGGGATGGATATCAAGCATGTGCTCGCCGCGGGGCCCAGACAAACGAAAGTTTTGTAGAGATTCCGAATCTCACTGGGTGTCGCAAGATCCGGCCCCAATAATCTATCACAAAGTACCCTTGTTAGCTGATTGCTCACCCTATATGCAGGCATGGTTAATACTTGAAAACAGTGAATATTTCACCCCATTACCAATCACTCATGTAGTGCATGCCAACATTTACACCACAAACCAACCGCATGAATGACTCCAGCGTGGATCGGTAGGCGGATCAGAAGTGAGAATCCAGAGTCGTTTTTGTTGCTCCATGGGAAGGCTAAATAGAGCATCTGCGTTCACTTGCTTTCCCGGGGTGTATTGATCGAAGAGAAAACACTTTCTGTCATCCTCACGGTAAACGGTGGGCTGACCCAGAGCGAGCCTACGCGCGAGAAGGTAAGAAAGGAAAACAGATTTTCCTTCTCATAGGTCAGACTGGGAATCAGATATGGATCAGATAATTACTACATACCTGGGCCAGAAGGACCAGACGGCTTGTAGTCCAGGTTGGCTTCCGGTTCTGGGGGTCTGATGCCATCGGACCATCTTTCCAACTCTGAATCTACTAATAGACTCTCTATCCGATCATACTCGGAGCGTATGAGAAGCAAATCAGTGCCGCAGGGAAGTCTCACCCCAGCCTGGAGGACTTTAAACTCTTGTTCCCGCACCATTTCTGTGAACTCAAGGCCAGGGAAGTCCCCGGTTACAGCCTGCCCCGGGCTGACTCCATATCCGGGCTCTGGCCTGACCAAGTGCGGCTGAGGTACAGGGATGGTGACATTTTTGACAATGACTCTTTTCCATACCCACAACTCCTGATAGATGCCCTCCATAACGTGGGATGTAGTGAAGATTTTCGCTCGTGATGGTTTCAGTTATTAGGGGAGTAGATAGAGAAGTGGAAGTTTAGAGGAGGGGGATGTTTGACAGAGATGTGGTATGATGACACGTGTCCTGGTGTTGGATAGGGCTAGAAGGCACTAGGGCTAGTTTGTGACTCCTAACCCCCGGCGTGTTGTTTTTTTCTAAGCAGAAGGCGAATTTAATTCTTGGACTACCCGAACCTTTAAAATTTCTTGCCACCATAACTGTGGTCAGTAAGAAATACTGTTGGTTGCTGGCAATTCGAAGCTGCACAGGGTAGAATTCCCGTTACTGTGAAAAATGGAGTCAAAGGGAATGAAGAGTTTGTGAATAAGAAGCAAAACGAGTGAACCAAGCGGAGACTTGTTATTTTTTTTGTGACCTTTCCACTACATAATGTTGCGGACAAAAGAGACCTCTTAAATACATAAGTCAATCAATAACTCTTCTGCAGTCCCTCGAACATAATCACGCCATTTCCATATCTTCTGACACCATTGCCTTACCCCTCCTTTCCTCCTTCACTTTCCAGCTCTTGTGTACCTGCTTACCCCTCACTCCGGATAGTTTACCGGGCATCCTGCTCCGGTGAATCATCCGTTATTCTTCTCGTATGTTCCAGCTCATTCAGACAGGGAAAGATCTCGGAAGGAGTGCCGGTGAATAACAACAGTTACTACAAATACCCTGTGAGTGAACGGGAACTAGCGCTAAAGCATTTCAACAATAATAGTGTTGTCTAAGGAAGTAGGGGAAGTGAACAGATGAGGTGCAACCTAGTAATGGGACCAATCTTCAATTCAACGGTTCTCTTGTGAAATATATGATTATGAACTGCTGATAAGAATGAATGGGTGACTGTAAAGAGGAAGAAACAAGAGTATATTTTATAATGTTCCATGGGGCAGATTATCTATTGAGTCTTTAGGTGGGGTTGTGTGGTTTACAGTATGTTGGAAACCAACGCCACCCCATGACCTTCTCGATTCCCAACGAGTTCCTTTCTGGACTCTATTTACATCTCTGGGACACACTCCATCTCCGAGTTCCAAGTCTGCTGCTGTTCTTTCCTCTTCCTCCGGATTCCTGGAGCCGGGGAAGGGCCCAGAACCCCCGTGAAGTACTGACTGACGACTTTCCGCAATACATTGGGTTTAACAAGAGGAACGATGAGGGAGACATAACTAAGGGTGTGTTTGGATACGACCGTTCGGTTCCGTTCGTTCATACAAACGGCCTTTACCTTCCATTTCCAAACGGAAGGAACTAAACTGGTGATTGGTAACTGTGGAATAAATTGACCGTTCCCCTTCTGAAATGTACGAACCTGGCAACAAAAGAAACGCACCCCCCCCCGTTTTCCACCAAAAACACTCATTTTCAATTAGCTGCCAGCAGCAACCACAACAAATCCTTCCCCCAAAACTCTGATGGTGTGGTAGGCATTAATAAGGAGCTTGCCATTATGAATTTTTCAATTTTTTATCAATAGTCTTTGATGCCAATATAGAGACATGAAATCACGATATGCTGTTGCTATGCAAAATCCCATACAAATTTGCTGTCTTGGCATAGATTTTGACCTCCCATTCAGAGCTTAGACTTTCAGTTTTTGTAGAACAATTCCTGTAGCCTGAAATTCAACTATGTGAATCCCTGGGTTAAAATCTCTGCCAAAAAAAAAATCAAATTTTTATCATTCTTTGCTGCTAGATAGGCACATATTGAAAATTGCTGTTTTGTATGGAAAAGGGGGGGGGGGGTGCGTTTCTTTTGTAGCCAGGCTCGTACCAAGTCGACCGTTGCGAAACGAAAGTGGTCCGTTTCTACAGGGACAACTGTTTTGAAACGGAACAGTCACGAACCGTCCCGTTCCCGCCAAACAGAGCCTAAGAATACACTAATATAACCTGGGGGTCAATTGGCCGAGGAACTTGCAACTACCGGTATGAGTACCTGTGATTTTCAACAAAATAGACTTCTAAAAGAGAAAGAAAAACAAATGCACAAATCCCAGTAATTCTAGCCTTCTACCTTCCATGTTCCCACTCTCTGTTTTTCCTGTCAGGCCTTCACTAGCCCCTTCATGATATCATCATTGGTCATAGAGGGGGGAGGGGATTATCCAATGGGCAAACAAAAGTAGTATCATGACTATCGTATTCACCTCCTGTGAGCGTCCCTAACCCCCAGACTCTGCTCAAGCATTCAATTACCCCAGAATTGACTGCACTAACATCTACTATTCAATAACCCAACTTCCTTTCTCCGTACTGCTGAGGATAAATACATTTTAAGGATACCCTTAGTGCTTACTTTCACAATGGCCCCTTCTGCCTCTCTTCAGAGCTCCTCCCATCACATCAGGAGTTGGATCCTGGGCCAGTATGAAGAGAACGTAGCTTAGTAGCAATAGATCTGTTGTTAGATATAGACACAACTGATACGGCTACACAGATTTGCTTCTCTCTCACCCCATATGGGATCCTGGAGGCAGAACTATTCTACCTATAAGAAACTTGAGGGGCAGGTCTCACACTGAGTTACTGTGGTGGCTGGTCCCTTGGAGTGCCGCTGCAAGTATCTCGATTGTTATAATGGGGGACTCTTAAGATACTTCAAGCATGAATCTCAATGGCAATCTAAAATATTTGCATGCACACACCTCCATAGCGATCTTTTAGTAAAAATGTGTCGACAATATCTCTTGTAGTATTGTCCAATTCGAAGAGGTACGACTAGCAAGGAGACGCTGATGCCGTCTGGAGTATGTGAGTTAAGAGAGAATGTAAAAATAATTGACAACCAAAATTTTTCCACTTGTTCTACGATTGGATAATATGTATGATCATAGAGTACTAATGTTATGCACACCAGTGACACAACACCTAGAAGTAATACAAGTTGGAAAGTGCTGAAATGTGCCAGTCTAGCAATGCATAACCATACTCATCAGCAGCACAACTCACGAGTTACACAACAAACACAATACAACCTTCAAAGAAGAATGATTCAGCCTATAGAGAATCAATTCAAGCTGCAATTCATATGATAAATTCAGGACACAAGCCAAATATTTCTTTCACCAGTGAGATCCGAGTCTTTGGAATCAGCTGCTAGATACACAACTGCGAGTAATGGGTAGCAGAAACTACACTACAGTATATAGTAGCCAATCAAGTATAGCAAAGACACACTAGCAGAGGAGGAAGAAATTGCAAAGTGGTACTTTAGCTGGAATGATATTGGCTTTTCATTATACTCTAATTTGGTTAAGAATATAGTAATTAACCTGTAATTAAAGTTTATGGGTAAGACACTACATCCACTAATCAAGGACAAGATTACTGATTTCTGTGAAGGCATTTGAAGGCATTTGAACCCTGTAACATTGATGAGTAGTCTGTTAGATTTGTAAAAATGAGTACTTATATCACATGAGTGCTTTGTATCACATCTGTAACTGGAGCTGATGCTCGGTTAGAGTTTAATTATGTTATGCCTTGTATTAAGTATCAGTGGATACCTGATTTATTTTATATTTTTGTAATAATGTGAATCAGTAAAAATAAAAGCTTGCATCATAGGTGTCCTATATATGTAATGCACAGAACAAACAAGATGCAATGGTTGTTGGTGCCAGAACTTGCAATGCAACTGAGTACTCTCTGAATTGTTTGGATGCAACCAGATGCTGCAGCCATTCTCTGCATGCAAGCAAGTACTGCTAAATTTTCAGAACGTACTACCAGGACTGGGTCTTATGACCTAAGTGACATATTATCCATATTCTGAAAGTATGAAAATAAAGATCATCTTTAGTCATATTGGTTCTAAAACACAGGGTATGAAAACCACAGCTCCAAGCCACCCAGTGAAAACACTCTATCCTTATAGCCCAGCCTATAACTCCAAGGATATTGGCACTAGGTAGATGTTTAATATACTATTGAAAGGCCAGCGTTGAGTAGTTCCTTGGTACCAGGTATCAGCTGCTGCGCCTAAGGACTACCTAAGGAATCTGGTGTCAAAGTGAGCATATTGCCAGAACCTTGTGAAAATGTTGCCAGAGTAAATGGGACTTGTGTAACGGGCTGTATCTCCAGGGATAATGGTGGAGAGTAGATGTTCTGTACACTGTTGTAAAGCCAGAGCCCAGTAAAATCAGGGTACTTAGTATCAGATGCTGTACCTGCAGGATACCCTGGAGTCTGGCATCAGACTCAGCACTTTGCCAGAGTAAAGGTGACTTGTAGAACAGGCTGTAACTATACTAACATTCGGGCCAGGAAGAGAGTCAAATAGGAGTGCCTCCCAGGTGTCTCAACTGTTAGCCTCTGATGAGACACCAATGCAGAGAAGTTTGCACTCCAGGAGGCACATTGGTAAGTGCCACACAAGAACTGTAGTGTATACAGGAGATAGCTTGCCCCTTAGAGTGTGCTGAAACCCTAGGCCCTTTGGGAACATGGTAATAATACCAGGTAACTCTTAGCAGAGAAGGGCAGACTCAGGTTGGTTGGAGTAACCTGATCATGGAGTTTTTGAGAAAAGTCTAACTACTTAAATATTATTATACAAGAACTCTCCTACCCCAACACAATCAACTTCCTCTCAAGACTTGAATTGAGATATGCTTCAGCTTAATAAGATTAAGTTTCACTGTTTACTTTATTCTTTTACATTTGCAAGTGCTTTTGTGTGATTAAGTTTGAAGTTTGATGCAGATGCATCCTTAGGATCCATCTTCCTAATGCAGCCCCTGTTACAAATGACTACCAATCTGGACGTGGCTGGATAATAGTTTTGAAGAGTGTGGCGGTGGAGCAACAGGTTGGCAGCACGGCTGTCATTTCTTTATGTACAAGAGAAAAATAAATCAAGATGGGGTGCTGGGAACAGGGGTGCTAGGAAAGAGGGTGTACGAATATGTACTAGTACACTCAAATTGCGGCAAAACCCACTCAAATGAATGAAAAAGACAACGAAGGAGCAGAAACTCAGGTCCCACCCCACTTGCATGAGTAGGAACTTGATCTTCATACAACCCGTGCATGAGAGGAGGAAACCATTGAAGATAATGTCAAATACGGAACACCGATTGCTGCAACTAGTGAAATAATGCCCTCACTGGAAATCTTTGCTCGGAGATTCACTGTAGTGGAGTTGGTATACAAACTGGTCGACCAGAGCAGAGTTCCAATGCCCTTGGCAGTCAAGAGTGTCCACCTATATTGAGACTGAATGATTGGCGAAACTTGACATCGCTTGAAACTCAAAGGCTGCAAAATCCTCTGCCTTGAAATGTGTGATCACCAAGTGGGAAATGAGTAGGCGGTAATGGTTCATGAAGGGCTACAAGGTTTCCCGTTACGTAAATACTACATCTGT